CCAAGATTGGAGTTTATACTTTATCGCTAAGTAGTGGGTTTAGTTTAGATTTGAATAAATGTTGTTATTCGCCAGAATGGCAAGAAATATTATTTCCTTTCATGCATTGTATAAACAAGGTTTCACCTTTTCATTTGATAATGAAGTTGGTTCGATTAATGCTTTCTTTAATAATGTTCTTTATTTTAAAGCATTACCTTGTGATGGTGTGTATGAAACTGTATCTGTGGTTGATAACTTAGGAAATAATGTATTGTGTATTGATTCTGTTAATAATAATAACTTGGATAAAGCATCATTATGGCATTGTCGTCTTGGACATATAAGCAAGAAACGCATAGGCCAACTCCAAAAGGATGGAGTATTGGAGTCATTTGACCTAAAGTCAGATGATAGTTGCGAATCATGCTTACTTGGAAAAATGACAAAGTCACCCTTCACAGGTTCTTGTGAGAGGGGTGAAGGTTTGTTGGATCTTATACACACGGATGTGTGTGGGCCCTTCAAACATGCCACAAGGGATGCTAATCGTTATTATTTGACTTTTACTGATGATTACAGTAGATATGGATATGTCTACTTAATCAAGCATAAGTCAGAGACTTTTGAGAGGTTTAAAGAGTTTAAACAGGAAGTCGAGAATCAATTGGGCAGGAACATTAAGATGCTTCGATCCGATCGAGGTGGTGAGTATCTTAGTTCAGAGTTCCTCGACTATCTTAGGGAATGTGGGATTGTCTCACAATTGACACCTCCCAGGACACCGCAGTTGAATGGTGTAGCTGAGAGGCGTAATCGAACCTTGTTGGATATGGTTCGTTCCATGATGAGTCGAGCTTCGCTACCAATCTCATTTTGGGGGTATGCCTTAGAGACTGCCGCCCATATCCTTAATCTAGTTCCCACAAAGAAAGTTGCCAAAACTCCTCATGAGATGTGGACTGGTAAAGTACCCAAACTAGACCACATTAAGATTTGGGGTTGCGAGGCTTTCGTGAGACGCGAGACTCATGATAAGCTCGAACCTCGAAGTGAGAGGTGTATTTTCATCGGCTACCCACAGAAATCCTTTGGTTACCTCTTCTACAGACCTAGTGAGAATGTGGTCTTTGTAGCTAGGAGGGCTTTCTTTCGAGAGAGAGAGAGTTCATAAGCCAAGGAGACAGTGGGAGGCAAGTTGACCTTGAAGAAATTCAAGAGTCAAGTGGTGAAGGAACTTCAAACCCTAGCACTCAACTTGAGGAGGAAACTTCTGTTGAGCCAATTGACAAGTCTGTACCTCTGAGGCGTTCCACAAGGGTTAGAATGCACCTGAGCATTACTATGGATTCCATATTACTGCGGAAGGTGATACACTTATCAGTGATGAGACACTGATAGGTCTGGATGAACCTAACAGTTACGCGGAAGCCATGGCAGGCCCTGAGTCAGCCAAGTGGAAAGAGGCAATGGACAGCGAGATACAGTCCATGTATGACAATCAAGTTTGGAACTTGGTTGAGAATGTACCAGGTCGTAAGACTGTAGGGTGCAAATGGATCTTCAAGAAGAAGACCGACATGGATGGTAATGTACACACTTATAAGGCACGACTGGTTGCAAAGGGTTTCTCACAAACTCCGGGAGTTGATTATGATGAGACCTTTTCTCCAGTGGCCAAGATTAAGTCTATTAGGGTTCTGTTAGCCATAGCCGCATTTCATGACTATGAAATATGGCAAATGGATGTCAAAACCGCTTTCCTTAATGGAAAGTTGGCTGAGGATGTTTACATGAGTCAGCCAGAGGGTTTTGTCAACACAGAGTACCCTAATAGAGTGTGTAAGCTTGAGAAATCCATTTATGGGTTAAAGCAAGCACCTCGCAGATGGAATCTTTGCTTTGATGAGAAAGTCAAGGAATTTGGCTTTTCTAGGAGTGAAGATGAATCTTGTGTATATGTCAAGGCTAGTGGGAGTATAGTTAGCTTTTTGGTATTGTATGTGGATGACATACTACTCATAGGAAATGACATCCCAACTCTGCAGGAAGTTAAGTCCTGGCTTGGGAAGTGTTTCTCTATGAAGGACCTAGGAGAAGCTGCCTATATTCTAGGGATAAGGATCTTGAGAGACCGGAGTAAAAGACTAATTGGACTTAGTCAGAGTACTTACTTGGATAAGGTGTTGAAGAGATTCGGCATGCAGGACTCCAAGAAAGGAGAGTTACCCATCCAGAGTAACGCCAGATTGAGTAAGACACAAAGCCCTAGTACTGAGGCTGAGATAGCAGAAATGAGTCGAATACCTTATGCTTCGGCTGTAGGATCGATCATGTATGCTATGACGTGTACTCGACCTGATGTAGCCTTTTCTTTGAGCATGGTTAGCAGGTATCAGGGGAACCCTGGCAAGGCACACTGGACTGCGGTAAAGAATATCCTCAAGTACCTACGGAGGACTAAGGACTGGGTCCTTACCCTCGGTGGGAGTGAAGACTTGAGAGTTGTAGGGTATAGTGATGCTAGCTTTCAGACTGATAGGGATAATTTCCGCTCTCAGTCAGGCTGGGTCTTTACCTTAAATGGAGGAGCAATTTCTTGGAAGAGTTCCAAGCAAGAGACAGTGGCTGATTCAACTTGCGAATCAGAGTATATAGCAGCTAGCGAGGCAGCAAAGGAGGCGATATGGCTGAAGAACTTCATTGGAGACCTTGGAGTTGTACCAGCTATTAAAGAGCCAATGGAAATTTTCTGTGATAGTGAAAGTGCAGTTGCCTTAGCCAAGGAACCAAGGGATCACGGGAGATCCAGACACATCGACAGAAAATACCATTTCATCAGACATCGAATAGAAGAAGGACTCCTCGTGGCAAAGAGGGTATCATCGGATGAGAATCCAGCAGATCCCCTCACGAAGGGACTGACTCGGGTTAAGCATCTCCAGCATGCTCGGAGCATAGGGCTGAAGGATGATATTAGATTTAGTAGTTAGATAACCTTGAAATTTGTAAAGTGTAATTGACATTAGATGATGAATAAAAGGTGTTTTATTTATGAGTAAAGTGTTGCTATCTCTTGTCGATCGTTTACTATATTTCTTTTGCATGTTTTGACTTCCAGAATAATTATGTTTGGTATATCATATTATTCGAACCTCCACAGTCGGTCATATGTCGGAAGTAGGTATGAATCAAGACTGTCATGATTGGTTGCAGAGGTCTAAGTTGTTGGACATGGCTACAACACTCATGAGTGCTCATAAGTTCTGAGCATTGGACTCAACCCACGCTCACTGGAATCACTTCATGGAATTTATCTCGAGTGATCGTGAGACGGTAATATCATATAAGTCTTCAAACCTAGAGATATGATTTGTTACTTATGAGTTGGTTATGCATTGATTGTACGTTAACGCATTGGTAACTCGATGTTATAAAACGTGCTTTGTGTATAATTCAATGAGTGGTAGAACAAACATATGAGTCGAAGTTTATCTGTTCCTTCTTGGATTAGAAGCTGATATCTGGGCCCCTCGATGATTTTGTTTTGACCTATGTACCGGGCCCGGTCAGAACTAAGTTGATGTGTTCAATTAAGTTCTATGTCAAACAAATCGGAAATCGGGAAACAAACTGCTGGACACAAAGTAAGACATTGTTCCATGTATTTGTCCGGCTGATATCTAGAACAGAGGATTATATGATCACTTATCTTAAATGGCGTATCATCATCTTCTCAGTTCCGAGAGACCTTGAAAGAGCTACGATTGCCGATCGGTTCCTGAAGTATTGCAGTTATAGTTATTAGACTTATCCAAGTGGGAGACTGTTGGATAAGGTGTCTAAGTCCATAACTATTTCTGGTATGTACTTGACCCGACCCGGCATGGTCCATTTGGGTTGCATGGCACCATGCAATTGGATAAACTAAAATGAGAGAAATAACACTTATGGTTTATTAATATATTATAAGTTCTAATATATTAATAATATTATTTAATTAGTTTGATCAAGAATTAATTTAGAATTAATTAAGTGATCAAAAGATAACTAATTAAATATATGGGTAGATTATGTAAATCTTCCATATCTTATATAGTGGGCTAAGAGGCTCCATGGATTATCAAGTTGGGTTCCACCCATAGGATGCTCCATGGATGCTCCATGGGAGTTACAAACCCATGGGTCATGGAAATGAAGAGTCATGACACATTAGGGTTTACATGGTGTAACCCTAGATGTGTCAACACTATATAAGAAACCCATTCTCCACCAAAATAGGCGACACTAAGAAACAAGAGGGCTAGAGCCGATTTTGCAAGTGTAAGATTCTCTCAAAGTTTACTCCTTTGCATTTGGTGTTGTGTGAAGCATTTGAGGCATCACACTTGGGGTGCTAGGCTCACAAGGTTTCAAGGATCATAATCAACAACAAGGTAAGTTATTCTATCTTTCATTCAAGTTAAAAATGTTCCCCATGTATGCTAGATAGGAATATAACCTTGGAATTCAACTTTGCATGATTATTAGACAAACATAGATCCAAGGTTATTAGGGTTGCATGTACACTTAGGAAGTGTTAGAATGCTCAAAACCCATCAAGATCGTCCACTGGAGTCTACACTAACAAAAGTCATATTCGTTTGAGTCCCAACAACCATTAACATCTATGCATGAGGCATCCGATAACTGAGTTTCTTGTAACCCAACAAAAGTTGCCCTATGTTTTATCTTCAACCTTCTAACCCAACTAATTTTCGCATCCTCACCCACCCCCTTACATTAATCGATAGGAAATTCATTGATTAGGAACATTGACTCCCATACCACCAACAACCTCAGCGAGAATGAGGTTCTCAGCCTCCATTTGAAATCCAATTTCCGTCCTAATGGCCAATGTTTGATGAATTTTGTTGGATACAGTCTCACCTTGATCCATGGAAAGAGATCGAGACATACCTGTTGTAGATGGTTCTCTGTTAAGATCCAGAGATACGTCGTTGCTTGGGGAGCTGGAATCATTATTCTTCTGGGTCGGATTGTACGAGCACAAAGAAGAATCGCCATTTGTGGGGGGAACGACAACCTCTAGCTCTTTTCCTTCTTTTTATTTTGCGTTCGCTGCTGCCTCGCTCAGAACGAGAGGACAAGTCACCTCGTTGGGCTAAGGATGCATTATGTGCAGATGAAGTGGAGTTGGGGACTGGACTAGAATTCCCACTAGGCCCAATATCATTATTATGTCCACTAACGTTTAGATCCGAATCAACAACTACTTTACCCGGATCCACACCCATTCTGCATGTCCTCCCTCCATTAGCCACGTCTTCCATCGTCACGTGAGGGATACCAATCGCCTCGCTTAGATTACCCATGTTGACTGTTTCTTGGAGAGATACCCCAGTGAACTCAACAGGTGTGTCGTTTACGTACCCAAAATTCCACGGAGGCTTTCCTATTCCTTCACGTCTACACATCTCCTCCGGCAGAGTTACCGGAGCCGCACCAGATCGGAATTCGCCTTCCTCCAGATCTTTATCATCCTCCTAAACCCATGTCTCAGAGACACCATTTTCCTCAGTTTCGTCATCGCTATCCTCCGAGACCGATCCCTCGACCACCTTATCGAATTGGCAAGGCTTGAAAGGCGACCAGTCATCAATATACTCAACAACTCCGACTAGATATAGTGCATCGTTAACACGAATTTGAACCTCTTCATTAATCCACTTCATCTTTGACGTGATTACTCCGACCTTTCCCATAGATAAATCTCTCAAGTCATGAATGTTCTCAAATGGAATTATAACTTTTCCAAATCGAATAGCAACTTTGGAAAAAATTTCAGTATCCCAGTATCTAAGGGGAACACCAGTGATCTTTAGCCACGCCAATCTTTCATACTGAATATCTTTATTTTCTTCTAGCATCATCCATTTAAACCATTCTTGCCACCTAGTTTTATCTTCTAAAAACTCACGAGCCTCCATAGACAATCCAAATTTAATGGCCATCCTAAGACCACCAAGATACTTTGTATCGTCATACGTGAATGTATGAGATGGTAAATTGGCAATATGGTCAAGGCTGTGGGCCTCCCCAATCAGCATAGTCTTATGAATCCATTCACTCATAGCAGTTTTACCGTTAAGTAGGATGGGGGTGATAACTATGACGGATCTCAGTGATACCAGCAGCCACCTGTGCGAAGGTTCTAGTGCCCTACTTACACTACTGACCTTGGGGTTGCTTTAGTTTCACCAGGTTTATCTCTCAGGGGCCGTTTGATATGGGTACTTTCCTTTTGATATTTGGCGAGATTAGCAACGAGAGTAACACCCCGAAGCCTGACACCCTTCATTTTTGCCTCCAAGATGCTTGTATCAGTCACCCCAACGTACCATATGAAGGCAAAGTTCTGGTTACAGTGATTCTTCTTCCCTCCGATATAGATATTCGAAATTTGGCCAGATCTGCCAAAGACTTTGTGCAGGTCCAATTTACTGGTGCCTTCATGAAACCCCGCTACGTAGAACGTAGAATTGTTTTCCTTGCGACCCTGTCCATTCCTGTGTTTACTCTGTCTGCGAATCTCCGTCCAACCATCTCCAGTGGCCACAGTTCTCCGTCCGCTCATAATCTAGCTTCTCTTCCCTTAACATCATAGAAGTAACAATATTTGTTCATGTTCTTCATAAATTTGTACGATAGAACCCATGCAAGATATTAAGCAGCCATGATTGCATTAAATCTCTTGTTCACCAACTCAATTTAATAACCATGCACAAAAACACAGTGAATTGCTTTTCCTGTATCGTGACTGAAAAAAGAGGAATAACCATACTTAGACTTTTACCCATATAGTTGAATTTCACTGCAGCTTTTAGATAAAGTATGCAACAACATACATCATCATGTTGTAACAACAATCCCATGTGATCACAACCTGCTGCCCTTTTTTCCACTGGATCATAACAATCTACCACTTAATTTCTCTTTAAATCGGTGACATACTAATATGAACCTATCCATACTAGGCCCGTATCATGTCATAAGCCTAAGTGTAGAACTATCTCCCAAAATCCAGCTTGTAGGAGGAGGGGACACTTAGACTTATAAGCCACAAACTTATAGTACTTTCAGCCGATGTGGGATCATAACAATACCCCACGATTTGAAGAGCCAACGTCCTCGTTGGTCACGGTTGGCACCCCCTTTTGGTCCAAACCATCACTCCGAGTCATTGTTGGTCACGGCTACGTTGGTCACGATTGGCACCCCTCTTTTCGGGTCCAAGCCACCACTCCAAGTGTTGGCTCCTCGAAAGATGGGGACGACTCTGATACCAATTAATACGAACCCATCCCATACAAGGCCTGTATCATGCCATAAGCCCAAGTGTAGAACTCACTCCCAAAACCCAACTTATAGGAGGAGGGGACACTTAGACTTATAAGCCACAAACTTATAGTACTTTCAGCCGATGTGGGATCATAACACATACTAACCTTGACCCTCCACAAAGACCTTGAGAGTAACAATACTCAAGAATACATTGATAGCTTTTATAATTGTTCAAAGATAATGAAAAATTTTCCCTTGCATTTCCTTTCACATATTATTGTAACAAGGCCATTATACCCCTATAAATGATCGTTCATGTTTCTGATAGCAAAAAAAAATCAGACTTTTAGGATTTTCAGGATTTGACTTTCCTTCTTTAAAGCTACCTTTGTCATCTTTTAACCATATCACAGTTAAATTATTCAAATATAGGGAATTTTGACAAATGAAATCCATAAAAGAAATAGGGTGTCAAGCTCCAAAGGATCCAATCCTCTACATCAACATATGTGGGTTCATCGTTAGTGAAACAACCATGAACATGTGTTCAAATGCCATAAAGAGATAATATCAGAAGTAGGAAAATTCTATGCTTGCAGCTTCATCTATTGACAACATCATCAATGGTGGTTGTGGAAACAACACCACTAAAAATATACAGTGGCAGTGGCTACCGATGTCATCAAAGTCGTCATCGCCCAGTCAGCAGCAACAGCTCAGGTGTAGTTAAACATGGTCCTAAAAAATAGACTCTTCATCTTCTTCAAGTGAAGAAATCCTAGTGGTGAAAATGGGTTCCAATAGATGCACCTCGTAACGGTAGCGTGTAGGTCGGGGTGTTGGGCGTGATGTAATTTCAAAGATGAATCTTCTTGTGAATCTTGGCATGGAGATATGAAGAGCCACACAATCACACTTGTTTTCGAAATATGACTGAAATACTCTTGCTTTTCTTTAATTTAAAACTCTATAACAAGTAAAAACAAAAACTCCTTTGTCATGCACCTGTTTTCTTTACAATTTATGTTAGCATTATGCAAAACATTACCTGTAACACTCCGTCTTGGATCATTCTGTGATTTAGGACTCGTGGGCCGTAAATCGATTATGTGAAGATTTGGGGCTTTCAGAAAGTGAAGTTTAGGCCTTATTGAAGGTTGACAATATTGGTTGTGAGATCTAAGCCCTTGAATAAAGAGTGGGAACTAAGGGTAAACTGGGAAATGATAGGTGTCAGACTGCTTGCAAGGATTATGGTTTTGAGTTTGAATTGTTTTAAGCCAAATTTAACTAGATAGGGTTGTAGAGCTCCTCAAGACCTTTCCATGGGGATAAAGAACGCAGAAATCAGAGTTGGAACAAAGACGTTATGGTCGTTAGTAGTTTAAATGAGTCGCAGGACTTTATCCGAGTTGGGCGTACATAAATTACATTGGGCGTAGATACACAGGGTGAAAACCCTAATGTTTTGGGTTTGGGCCTTATTTAAGCAACTTAACTTCTACAAAATCTCTCCATATTCATCCTCCATCCTCTCCAAAGCTTCATCTCAAAACCCTATCCCCATTGGTGAATATCTTGAGCCTCTTGAGCATTTTTATGAGATTTTGGCGCATCTTGAAGAAGAAGAAGAAGAAGAAGCTTGGATAAGGAGCATTGGTTGGTTTAAAGCTTGTGGATCCAGAATCTATTCATCTTCACCATCTTCCAAAAGGTATAAAGTTCCTAGCTTGGTGATTCTTTTCTTAAATCTAGGAATAGTTGGGGTTTTCTACATATTTGGTCCCATGAGTTGATTATTGTGAGTAAATGCTACTCCAGAGGCTTTGGGTTGTTCATTTTGATGTTTTTGAGTCCATTGTTCATAAAGTTTGCATCTTGATGGTTGTGGACCAACCATGCATGAGTTGTTGACCTTATGGTGAAGCTAGTAGGCTAGAATTGGATTTTGGGTTTCTTGGAGCCATGCAAAGGCATCAAGTTGATGACTTTATTAATTAAGACACCTTTTAGAATTAGATTTGAGCTTTGGACGTAAAGTCTTAATGGATTAAGCACTTTTAAGTGAGTTATTGGTCATTTTGATATGTTAGAAAGCTTAAGTTGGGTGTTGGGCTCTATTAAGCCATGCAAGGTCATAAAGTCAGGAACTTTATGGCTCTAGACGTCCATTTGGCTTAGACTTGAGGATTTGGACATTTGGTCTTAAGGGAATAATACCTAAAAATGAAGCTTGTTGACTAATTAGTACGTTGTGCGTATGTGTCGGTATGTTGGGCATACTCGACCATGGCCCTGTTTTCTATTATGCTTAGTACGTACGGCGTAAGGGGTCGTGTACACATGGCATACTCCCAGTTGGGGAATTTGGTCTCTTTTTGGCCATTTTAGGGTTTGGACCATGTTTGGTTGAGTCTAGGCTTGGAGGGGGGTAAAATGGTATTTTACCCAATGAGTTGTAATTATGGAAAAGGTCCCTGATTATGGATTATGACCTATTTAGTGATTAAGATTATTTGTTTGTGATTAATGTAGGTATTTTCCGTTTCAGCAGCCCAAGTGTTATTTTTTTATCAGTGGATCGAGGTAAGTTCCTTCACTGTACTCGTGGGTCGAAGGCACCAATGTCGGCCCAATGGATTATGTGTGTAGGATGATAGTTTTCTTTGTGATAATTATTGTTATGTCTGCATGTGCTTGTTGTCTTTGTGACTCTTATTGATCTGAATGTATGCTTAGGTGTAGGGGTGAAATAGACCCGATACCGGTTGAAAGAGACCGAAAGGGGGTGAAATAGACCCAGTACCAATTGAAAGAGGCCAAAGGCGGTGAAGTAAACCTAGTACTGGTTGAAAGATACCTGTAACACCCAGTTCCTGATAAGTATTCTTAAAATGAGGATTTATCGTTTTAGCAAAGGGAATCGACGAGTTGAAGGACCAACTCGTCGAGTAGGATCGGGCGTGGACACGGGAGTTAAGTGACCTACTCGGCGAGTCGGTATACCGACTCGGCGAGTAGCAGCTGTTTGGGTAAACCCTAAATTGAGGGTTTGCACTCTATTTAAACACCTTATCTCAGCCTCCATCATCCCTTATACTCCCAGAAGATATCATATAGAAACCCTAGCCGTTTTGTGTGTTCTAAGGCCATTTTGGTGCTTTTTGGTGGGTTGTAAAGCTTGAGAAGAGGAAAGGAGCTTGTGAGACCAAGGGGAAACCAGAAGATCCAGAGTTTGGAGCTCATTTTTAGCTTATTGGAGGTATGAAGCTGAACCTTTGTTTATAGATCTTGATTTTTGGGCCTTTCCCTTCATCTTTTTAAGCCCTAGAGAGGTGGTATTCAGGATTTAGTGTTGGAAGTCAGTGTATGCTTTAGATCTAGGTCTATTGGGGGTTTTTATGGCACAAAGGTGCCCATTTTGTTGCCATGAACACCCCATGCACCATGGAGGCCATCTTTTATGGCTTTTTGGGCCAAAGACCCCTTGCATATGTACCAAAAGTTTGGAACTTTACTTATGAAATGGACATTAGGGGGCCAGATCTATGGTTTTGAGGTGTGAAGACCCATTGAAATCGACTGTATAGTATTGCTCAAGGATGGACTCGACGAGTTGTTCTTGGGACTCGGCGAGTCGCGGTGTATTGGCCACCAAATCCTTTCTGTGGATGGACCAGTTGTTAGGGAGGAAGTCCCGTGGATGTTTACATGCGAAAAGGGACCTGGGAATCATGGGACTCGACCAGGGTATGAACAGACTCGACGAGTCGAAGGCAATCTCCCAATC